GGGGGAGAGGGTCCAGCGTTTCACGAATGCCAGACCCCCGCTGAACTTCGTGCCCCCATGGGCTCCGGCGTTTGTGAAACGCTGGGCCCTATCCCCTTTCGCAGGAGATAGGGGATAGGGTCCAGCATCTCACAAACGMCGGACCCCATGGGGCCACGAAGTTGAACGGGGGTCCGACGTTTGTGAAACACTGGACMCTCTCCCCAGCTTTGCCGAAGGGGGAGAGGGTCCAGCGTTTCACGAACGCCARACCCCATCGGGGCACGAAGTTGAAYGGGGGTCCGGTGTTTGTGAAACGCTGGACCCTCCCCCACTTTGGCACAGATAGGGGAGACGGTCCAGTGTTTCACAAACGCTGGACCCCCGCTCAACTTCGTGGCCCTGTGGGGTCCGGCATTTTTGAAGCACTTGACCCTCTTCCCCTTCGGCACAGATAGGGGAGAGGGTCCAACGTTTCACAAACGCCAGACCCATTGGGGACACGAAGTTGACCGGGGGTCTGGCATTTGTGAAACGCTGGACCGTCTTCCCTATCTGTGCCAAACGAGGAGAGGGTCCAACGTTTCACAAGCGCCGACCCCATGGGGCCACAAAGTTGATCAGGGCTCCGACGTTTGTGAAAAGCTCCCTATCTGTGCCGAACGGGGAGAGGGTCCAGGCGGAGCATTTCCCAAACGCCGGACCCCATGGGGGCACGAAGTTGAGCGGGGGTCTGGCATCTGTGAAATGTTGGGCCCTCTCCCCTATCTGTGCCGAAAAGGGAGAGGGTCCAGCACAGATATTCGAAGGACAACACAAACTCCATCACACGTCTCCCTTCTCTAACTGCATAGCCATACTCTCAAATGAAGTTCCAGCACAACCAATACCCAACAAGGGCCTCCTAGATGCCACGCCAAGGCGGGGGAGTAATATATAGTACAGGAACCGATTTGAAAAAAAATAGAGAGTAGAGGCTCAGGTACCAACTGGGGAACGCGATCCCAAAGAAGATCAGAGTAGAAGTCTAGAAGAGACTATTGTTAAGTGAGAAATTTTGGCTATGTCTGGTGATGCYGAGCTTCTTTTGATCTTGATCCAGTCTGCCATGACCACTTATTCTGAAACACAGTCTTGTTCTCTTGATCTTGATCCAGTCTGCCATGATGTCAAACCGGATTGCCTGTTTGAATTGGGGGAGTAAAGGAGGAAGGGGCGATTTCGAGTTGAGGAATCTTCTGTCCCTCCTGGTCAGCCACAGAAGCCAAAATACTCCTGAAGCATTGGGCTACCACACTGGGTTGTTGCTTCTGATATAGGGGGACAAACTGGCCCGTGATGATGAAGTCTTGGGACCAGAAGTCAGGTTCAGGTACGGTGGGACCAGAAGTCGGGTACGGTGGGACCAGAAGTCAGGTACGGAGTAGGCTTTGAGCCACCGCTGGTTCAGTTCAGTTCCTTCCAGAAACCTCTGGCGATGACGCATTCCCACCTCATATGTAACCAATCTTCAAAGCAAGGGACGGGACATGCATCACAAAAAACAGAAATTTCCATTCCTTTCTCTGAGCACCACATTCCCGTGGGGACACAGGACTGGAGGTGCAACCAGCCATTGCAGGCCTCCTATTTTGGTCTCCATGGCAGATAGAATGATATTAATGAAGAAGAGAAGCCATTTTGAGCGAAGAGGTTGGAATTTTAGCGAGGAGATACGTTTTTTTTTTTATTTTAATTGAGAGCTGTTTTTTTTGCGATAATTTGCAAAATACCCACAGAAGTTGAGATATATGCCAAAATGCCCCTACAAGATGTGGGAAGGGCGGAATGCCCCTCTGACAATTATTTTTTTTTGTGAAATACCCCTGGCATCTGTTGGAACCCCATCTTTGCAATATACCCCTACCGGGTATTGTTCAATTTTGTTAAATGCCCCAGTACTTGCCCACTTCTCCTAGGTGCTATTCCAAAAGGCCAAGGCCCAAACGGCGAGGTCCAGATTGTGAAGTTCCACACCCCACTGACAGGGGCACCACACAAAGATTTCGGCCCATTTAAGGGCATTCTGCTCAACCCACATGTTTCAGGGGCATTCTGGCGTATATCTCAACTTCTGGGGGTATTTTGCAAATGATCTTTTTTTGGGGGCCGGTACCTTTTTTTTTTTTGAAAAAGAAGTAACGATTATTGTTGTGCCGGGAAACAGGCCCGGCGTCCCTCGCAAAGTTCGCCGCAGCATGCAAGCTGAGCAAGGCTCTCCGGCCACGCAAGGCCAGGGCCACGACTGTGGCGAAAAGAGCAACCCCTTCCTCTTGTCTTCTCTTCTGCTACTTCAACCCATTTCTTAAACAGACTAAAATCTGAAAATGCCATAAAACCACCTATCACACAATAGTTCTAATATCACGTGGAAATAAGCAGTAACCCAAGTCTAAAGTAAGCTCGACACTAATCAACCCGTTAATCCGGAAAGCAACAAAACAATCTACGAGATGCCAGCACATTAACCCTAATGTGATAAGAAATCAGAATTTGTGAAAACACCATAAGACTGCACATTTCACAATAGCCATCATATCACATGAAAATAAGCCCTAACCCTAGTCTAATGCAAACTTGGCACTAAGCAAGCTGTTAATTCCAGAAGCATTAAAACCATTGAACGAGATACTAACACAATAGCCCTAAAGGATTATGATCAATCTCTTGTCATAAAAGTGTGGATTCTCTTTCTCACAGATCTTTCCATTCCACATGCACTACTCGGCAGCAAACAACAAGCCGTTCTCTCTCTCTCTCTCTCTCTCTCTCTCTCTCTCTCTCTCTCTCTCTCTCCGTGGACACAAACATCGCGAATCACAAACATCGCCTATCACAAACATTGCATATCACAAACATTGTGTATCCTTCCGTTCCACAAATACTAATTGGGCCCAAGCAAGAGATCAACTCAGGCAGAGGTAATCAAAAACAGCAGACATAATGTGGCTGGTAGCATCAGGCCCACCGTTTTGAACAGCCTCTGCCGAAGCACAAATTGAACTTGCGACCAATCTCTCTCTCTCTCTCTCTCTCTCACACACACACACACACACACACACACACACACACACACACACACACACACACACGCGCGCGCGCTCTTCAGTTCCACAGGCTCAAAAACCCGCGGAGTCGAAACGAGCTGTGTTCCGAAGACTTTTTTTTTTTTTTTCAACCCATCAATGTCGAAAAATGCCTGACAGTCGTTCGGGACGTCCGTTAAAATTGGAACGATACAGAGAGAGATGCATAAATCGAGAAATGGTCTTCAAAAAAAAAAAAAAAAAAGCCTGACAGTTGTCAAAAATTAAGCGTTTTTTTTTTTGTTTTTTTTTTTTGAGGGGGAGTAGACGCCCGGTAGCGCTCACTCAGCGCTAAGTCTGCGCTAATTCGGGAATCGAATGTAGCTCAGACCTAACACCCCTCGGTCGGCCGGTGCTTCGCGGCGAAGTACACTCGTTGAGTCCAGTGGCCACGCGTTATGGAAAGACAAGTGTCTCGACTGGTAGAGAACATAGCGGAGCCTAGTCCTCGGTGCTCGTATCCTAACCTCTCCTTGATTGGAGGGGGAGTGCCTCTGCACTCAAGTATAGGGGCCACAGGCGATCCCCTCCCTCCCTCGAAATTAATGGAAATTTCATTCTCCAACCCTAATATTGGTAGGTGTGAGACACGTTGACTACTCGTTTCTGTGAAAGCAGAACCGAGCCTCGGGCCAAGATATCGGATGGGAGCTGCGAACCAAGAGCCACAAGCGCAAGTTCTGGAAGAACGATTGGGACGGTGTTGCGGCGGGCAGTGAGAGAGAGCTTGCAGCAACAGTGGGAGCGTGCCATAATTTCCAAGAACAGAAGTGTCAACCCCATTGAACAGAAGTGTCAACCCCATTGGGCGATCTTTGGAATATATTGAATTTTGAGGGTCTGTGGACGATGCTGATTGTATAGACACACTGGTTTGCATTCCTGCGCATGGTATCTGGTTGTATCTGTTGGTTAAATCGTAGAAAAGTACTTACCTTCTCACTTAGATGAGCATGTTCTTTGACAGTCATATAGATTCCACTGTGTTATGCATCTGTTAGACATAGTCGATTAGATTCATGGGCTGCTCTATTTCGACACTTTCCTTGAATCCAAGCGGTATAGTGTGCGTTTTAGCACACGCCTCTTACTTGAAGGTAGTTGATGTCACACTGGTTTGGAAAGTGTTATTCTAGGCGCTTTCTTCATCTCTGTATTTGGAATCTGGTTGGTTCCGTGAAGAGTGACCGCCTTGTTTTCTCGGCGCGTCCTAGGCTAGTATTATCTGTTCTGTCAGTGCACATGTATTTTCTCTAGTCTTTCGTAATTAGAAACACATATTTAGGGTCGGAATGTTTTTTGTAGTAATTCAGAGTTTTAGGTATTTCTGCCTCTTGATAAGTTGATTTTCTTTGTGAGAATAGTCAGTACGAAGGAGCAGTGGGAATACCAATGGTTGGACGATAAGAGAGACCCGGTGAAGAGCAAACTAGAGATGTATCCATTGGGTGCGTGGTGGGAAACCCGCCTTGGCAACAAAGGCTTTTTACAAGTTTTTTGGATAGTGATGATAAGAAGGTACTCCTACAGCCTATTCTTCTATCGACAGCGGCACTGCGGGGGCAGTGTGAGTGCCATCGTCAGTGGTGGGAGCGTTCGTCGATTGTAGTGATTATAAGAGTAGTTAGTACGAGTGAGCAGTGGGAAAACCAACGGTTGGACGAAATGAGAGACCCGGTGAAGAGGAAAGTTCTATCCATTGGGTGCGTGGTGGGAAACCCGCCTTGGCAACAAAGGCTCTTTACAAGTGTTTTGGATAGCGATGATGAGAAGGTATCCCTACAGCCTATTCTTCTATCGACAGCAGCACTACGGGGGCAATGTGAGTGTCGTCGTCAGTGGTGGGAGCATTAGTCGATTGCAGTTATTATAAGAGTAGTTAGTACGAGAGAGCAGTGGGAAAACCAATGGTTGGACGAAACGAGAGACCCGGTGAAGAGCAAACTAGAGTTCTATCCATTGGGTGCGTCACCGTGCGTGGTGGGAGACCCGTCTAGGCAACAAAGACTCCTCACAGAATGACTGGACAGTGATGATGGGAAGGTAATCCTACAGCTTCTCTTTTTGCCCAGTTCCTGATCCTTGAGTTTATAGGCAGTAAGTGGATGTTCCTCCTTAGTTCTTTCTTAGTTCCCGATGCCTTAAGCGCTGGGGTATGTCTGCAGGAGCTTCAAGTTTTATCGTTTTTTGAGTTCTTTTTTCACCTCTCTTAAGAGAAGAGTGGTTGGGACGCTGGACCCGGTTTCCAGCATGGTTCCCTTGCGACTTCGGGGTTGAATTGTGAGGTCCCCGGCCTCGACCACAATTATTTCTTTGACTATAAAGCGACAACTTCTCAAAAAAACAAAAAAAAAATAAAAAAATTGTTTTCGACACTGGTAGATTCCGCACAAATTGAATCGTTCCTCCTACTTAAAGTTTGCTCATACGCGACTCGCTTCAAGTTGGAGAAACTAGACTAGAGGACTATAGTGCAATTCAACAGCCAGCAGTGAGCACCATGATGAGGACTAGAGTGCAATTGGACAGTGAGCAGTGAACACCATGATGTGCGCAGGCGGCGAACAGCCTTACTACCTAGGACTTGGTGGGGCGTTTTGCACCGGGACACTTTCGGCAAAATTTGCAGAGCGTAACGAAGTCATAGCCTCCAACTTTTTCTTGCTTAGCAGTGCCACATGCTACACAGTTGTAATTCTTATCTGCCGGAGCTTTATTCTTACTGTTGATGTCCTTTGCAGTCTGACCGGCGTTGTTCGAGGAAAGGTGGGAGTCGACACGGCTGCAGTATTTTTTGGGGTCGTCCTGCAAATGCCTGCCGGCAAACGATTCGGCAGGAGCAGAGCAAGAACAGCAGTCGAGGAAGAACAGAGGGGAACACTCAGTCTGCTTGCACTGCTCATACTCCGCCTCGCACTCACCACGGCATGCTGGCTGAGAAGAATTGCAATTGCCAATGCACTGAGCAACCTCCTGGTTGCATACATCGCATCCAACAAGTGTGAGCAGCTGAAGACGTACAGCGCTCTGGAGCTGAAYTGATGTCTTGAAGGGAGGGAGACCGTTTTGTGCTCGGATCGTGTTGAGATAATCAACCACCTTATTGCCCTCCCGTATGGTACAGTCCTCACTGATTGGCGCATCAAGATCTGGCGCAGTGCAGCTGGAATCAAATATCAAAGATGGACCGTTGGGACTGCCGGAGCGAGTTGCAGGCCCCTGATCTGGTTGAGTGAAATTTTGAACTGACTGTGATGGCTGCGATTTCGGCGCTGGACCCGGACGTTTAGGGGGCTGTGAACTGGGAGGGGTTGGGGGCTCTGACGATCTGGGAGGACTGGGAGGGGTTGGGGGCTCTGACGATCTGGGAGGACTGGGAGGGGTTGGGGCCACTTTTGAGTCAGACGTGTACGAATTGTTTGGACTGTTCTGAAGGACCCTACGAACTTCCTGTACTCGAGTGTCATCCACCTTCTCCTCTTTGGGCTTTTCCTCGTGAAAGATTTGTCTCTTTCCACTTGACTGGTTCCCATCTGTGGTGCCTGGCTCTTCTTCATGCATGCGAGATTCATGGGAATTGTCATCCTGTACAGCACACCCCAGCTGCCCTGCTCCTGCTTGGACAGCACCCAATACAAGTACAATCAGCAGAAATAGAGTTGAACTCCATTGCCAGAATCCCCGATCCTGATGAACGATACCCATTCGTGATGACGGAGAACTCGTCAAGGAATGAACAGATAAAATTATTCCTCCTTGGAGATCCCTCCCTCCCTTTTCCTATTTCTCCTATTCTTCTTCTTCTGCTGCTGCTGCTGCTGCTGCTGCTGCTGCTGCTGATCCTGCACCAGTAAGGACGTTGACATCACCAACAATTCTGTCAAACTGTAATCCATTCCATTCCATTCGATCAACGGTTCAACTCACACAGGAAGAAGAACGGCTCCCGAAGAAGAAGCCACCCCCTCACACAGGTGACAGAACTACAATGCTGGCTGGAGTGCCGACGAACTTAGCAGCACCTGGAGTAAGGACAACCTGATGCAAATGATTGGGGATAATTGGTGGAAGGCGCCCACGCCAAAACCTTTTTGGTAAAGGGCACCCGCAACTTTCCCGTGGAAGGGCTTGCAGGGCAAGCCGTCACGGGCTAGGCCACTCTGGTAGCCTAATTTGAAACTAAAAAAATATCTTTTGACCGTTTTTCACAAAAAAGCACAATTCCGGAATAACCAATGGGCCTAGCTCAGAGCATGCTCACACTACCATCTTCACCCCCGTTTTTCACAATAAAACACAATTCCGGAATAACCAATGTATCTGCTGCAACTTTCAGCCCAGATACAGCAATAAATACTTGCTGGGTGTTCTATTCAGGGGTGAAGACCGCAGGTAAGAGGTTGCCACCATCTCTAACAGCCATTTCGTTAAAAAGGACATTTTGTATTTTTTTTGAAGGAAGTTGAAACCTACGCATTTAGCCCTAACTTCCCTTTTTTCTTTTTTTTTTTTAATGCCTGTGTCTTAAAATGCCCGCCTTGAATGTGCAATGTGCCCAGTCGTGATAATCAGTCGTCACTCGCAAAGACAAAGTAGACGAACGCTGCTGATAACTCATAATAATAATGATCCCCAAATGAGAGAGAATACATACACGGACGAGAGAGGGAGGAGGGAGAATAGACTTTGAGAGGGTGGAAGAGTCTCCTCCCTACAGCCCACTTCCTCTTCAAGCACTTCCTCCTCCTAGCAGCATACTCGTGTCTCAATCAGAGATCCAGACGTCCAAGACAATGTAGACCAACAGTGCCACGTGGCACCAACAGACCAGTCATCAAGCAGCAGCGTGACGACGTTGAAGACACCAGGTACGTATCACGACCCCAACCACAGTCCTGAATCCTTCTTCCGAGTACTTGTCAAGCAGAACAGCAATACAGGAGCCCAGCGCCTTCCACCTCAGCAGCAGTCCTACGTGGCAGCAGCCACGAAGATGACACGTGGCATCTGCCACGTCGAACCCCTCAGACAGTAGTGCGCCAGCCAGCATGCTGGTCCCACAGCACGCTCAAGCCACGAACCAGCGACGAGCGCCGGTCGTCAAGTCCTCCCAGCAGCGTCTCGCCAGCAAGACAGCATAGAGCCGGCAGCGTCTCGCCAGCAAGACAGCATAGAGCCGGCGCTGACGCAAGAGCGTCGAGTCCGCATAGACTCCAGACGAGAGTCTAGATGTCAAAGCCAGGAAATCAGCTCAATATGTAGTGTTGACGGCGGGGTCTGGACCCCAGTCCTCTAGTCAGACACGGCCGAGATCGATTGTCGTCGACGGCCTGGATTGAGTTGAAACTGTATCCTCCTTGGTCCACTGTTCTGACTGAGTACCTGCACACATACAAGTCAATGCACACGACCAAGGGCCTGGTCGAGGTACTTGGACCTACAGTTGACTTCGACCTTTGAATTTCTTGCTGTGCGTGGTCACACAGCACCCGCAGCGGCCTGAGGCCGAGCAGCGCGTGGTCGCACTGCTCGCTGGGCCTGGGCTTGGGTTACAGCGCCCAGGCCGCTGCTGAACGCGGTTTACTGCAAATGTATCTGGACTTAGGCTAAGTCCAGACGGACCCTCAGGTGCTAAACAGTGACATTTTCATGGCCAAATAAGTAGGTTTCAATTTCGTTCAAAAAATAAGTTGGTTTCAATTTCGTTCAAAGTATAAGTAGGTTTCAATTTCGTTCAAAATATAAGTAGGTTTCAATTTCTTTCAAAAAATATAAAATGTCCGTTTTAACGGAATCATGGCTGTTAGCTTTATCTTCTCTCTCTTTCTTCCTCCTCTTCCTCCCTCCCTCCAAACCGCCACCAGTACCTCCAATTCTCTTTTTGCCCAAAGCGGAACAGAAGGGCATGTCCCAAGCTTTGCCTAGTAAGCACCAGCATGGTTTTTATTTTTCTTTCTTTTTTTTGCCGGCTTGCCCGGCCTCCCAAGAATGTGGTATAGGTTATTTTTTTTTTCTCTCCTTCTGAGCTTGCCTGTCAAAGAAACGGGGGAATAAAAAAAGAAAGGGCCAAGTACTCTCAAGTCACACCCCACGTTCAGAAATTCAATTCAATGCGCAAGTTTAGCAGTTCTCTAAAAATGACCAAAAGAAGCAACAGTTAATGTCTTTTTTTTTTTTTTTTCTTACCCTAAAATTGGATTCACTAGAGCGGCTAATGACTCGCCCAGCAGTTTTTAACCAAACCCTAAAATTGCACATTTTCAAACTCACACCAGGACTGACCACAGGGCCACTTAAAATTTGTATTTTTCTTGCTTGCCTATTTCAAACTACGAGACTCAGTGTGACACAGCCACAGTTTCCTGAAAAGAAAACAATTCAAGAATTGGACAGATGTCTGAGTGCGGTGGACCACAGGAGTTACATGTGATGCTCAGCTTCATCCAATCTCCAGCAGGTCTTCACCYGAATGCAAACAGTATTTCAGTCTAGATACCTTGTCCATGATAAAAACTGGAAGGTAAGGACCGTAAAGGAGACAGCAATAATAAAAAGTAGTAACTATGAACAGGAAGCACAGTGGATGAAGTAGGTGACTAAATGTGCCCCCCTCAGCTCTTGTGATGCTGTCAGATTAGACTGTGGGGCTAGTTCGACACTCCTCGGGCGCGTAAAGTCCCCGAGGAATTGTTCGTTCCACCTATCCTCGGGGATGCAGTCGGAAAAAAAAAGTGCAAACACTCCGAAGGAAATTCCTTGGGCTCCGAGGATTCCCCGAACATTTCTTCCTTTGAGGTCCCTTGGGCAAAAGGAATCCGCGTTTCACGGAGAGGAGCGGGCACATGGGTAGAGAGATGTTAGAGAGATGTTACAACTGAGAATCTGGATCGTGGCGGCACCCTATTGGCTGAAGGGCTGTTTTTTTTTTTCTTTCTTATTTCTTTTCTGACATAGCTCGAAGGAAATGTCCTCGGGTGATGTCCCCGAGGACAGGTGGAACGAAGGACCGAAATTTCCTTTTGAACCAGAAGGAATTTTTCCTTTTGCCCGAGGATTTCAAGAGGAGTGTCGAACGAGCCCCTGTGTTTCAAGGCCTGATGGGTAGATGATCCCATAGGAGTTCCGAATAAACCAGTGTTGCATACTCGTGAATACTTCAACAAGTATGGGCAGAACCAAGAGATCAACCAATATAGGATGAGCATGTATGCAGCGGAAGTCTGATAAATGGACTGACTCACATAGACTGGCTCACACAGATATCACTCAACACACAACAATCGTGAGATGGTGGGGTCTGAGCCAATCATAGACGATGCTCAGGGCCCGTACAACCATACACAGACGAAAGGTGGGAGGAGAGATGAAGGAGGTGGGAGATGTAGGCAGCGCCAGATGTCCCCGAGATAGAATCCAGTAGGTCACCGATATGGTAGTCCAAAATGTCATCGAACAAGATCAAAATGTCATGGACAATAAGTCACCAATGTCGGAGATACAGAGTCCTAATGTAAACGGTGTCCAATCTGTGATGCCGCCGAGTATCAACCCCAACAATCTCCAAGTCTCGAATCCGGTCAGTACCACAGCCTCTTAGCACCGAAGTCCAACACTGATCTCTGTCCAACTAGTATCAAGTCTCCAATCTGAAGAAGAAGACGAAGTCTGAAGAAGAAGAAGAGGAAGTCTGAAGAAGAAGAAGAAGAAGAAGAAGAAGAAGAAGAAGAAGAAGAAGAAGAAGAAGAAGAGAACAGAGGAGGAGAGAGGTGAGGAGGAGGGGAGCCAGGGACCGTGGAGGGAGGAGAAGACCTCACCCCCGAGTACCTGGCCTGCTGCAACTGACTGAAGCCGAGGTCGGCTATGGCTGCCCGCTGCCTGGCTCCTCGCTCGCTGCTGCTGCTCCTCCACGCTGTGCTAAGAATAGCGCTGGCGCTAACGCTCCTCTGCTGAACCGAAACGACTGGCGTTCTAGCAGCGTCCCAGTGCTCGATGCCCCAGAATGAGGCTGAACC